TAACTTCAAACTATCGTTAAATAGATAATATAGAACCTCAGTTTGATGTGTCAAAGCAATTCAATTAACTTGTTAAAACATGTGAAAATATTCACATGGGGTATGAACATTTTATCAATTTAAGTAATCATAAAAGAATACTCTAATATTTAATAAAAGTAATAAATACATCACATGCAATAGAAATCACATTTTGGAGTTTTTCTTTAATTTTGTGTGAGTAAAAACAAACATTTATAGCAGTCACATTTGAGTACACTAAGCTCATAAATTTACTATATTTACTTTTCATCTTTGAGATCATGTTACCATAATTTTTACCAATATAATATTTATTATAATATATGCTTTCTTCATTTAAAGCTGGTCCATGAAAATTGACAAACCTACTTCAATTCACCATTCAAATTTTCACGTTAAAACAACATTTTTTTTTTGGTCATAGTAAATCTTTGTACCATAAATTAATCACCATACTTCACAAAAAAAAAAATTAAGAAATATTCTCTTTGTCTAATTAATTATAAAATTAAGATAATATTAATTAATATTTCTCATTTTTCCCTTAGAATTAATTAAAAAGATATGAATTAATCGCATAATATTTGTACGATCAAATCATTTAAAATATAATTACAACTATATTTGTTTAATAAAAGCATTGTCCGGGTAATCAAGTGGAATTAATAAGCTTATAACATATTAAATTACGTTCATAATGTAAGAAATTCATTACACTATCAATTACTATAATTTAATTTAGTCGAATAATAAAAAGTTTCCTTCTAAATTATGTTATTAGTGATCCGATTGAGTAAATATATATCTCTTGGACTGTACCCTTTTGGCAACAATAAATATATATATTAATAAAGAGTGTAAAAAATTTTATCGACATTAGTTAATTTTCATTGGATTCAGTGTCACTATTGACTTTTCGAGACATTTACAAAGAGTTCTAATTGGCGCTGAAAATATATATTTAGCAACAAGTAAGCTATTACCGTTAAAAATAGTTTTTTGATAAATGGAAGTGTGTCAAAGTGTGATTCACAGGGTTCTCAAGCCCTATGAGTGTAAATGTGCCTATTTCATGTGACCTAGCTTATTGTTATATCATCTCTCACTCTTGCCTGTGACTTGATTCAATTCTCACCTCTTTTAAATATCCATTCATTTCTTTCTTTTTTCCTTCAACAAAACATTATAATATCAAACAATAAATTAGGTGATCAAAGAGCTTAAGAAGAAGAAGAAAAAACAAAAACAAATTAAGGATGTATACAATGAGGAGTTTCAAGTATATTGCAATTATGATCATTGTTTTTCTTGTTTTCCTTCCAATTGTCATGAATGCAAGGCAAATTCCCAAGATTAACTCATGTATGATCAACTTCTTTCTTCCAACCATTTTATTTCTCGATTACTGAACTTGATAGTTATTATTTCAGAAAATCGTAATATATTTGTGAATATTTGAAGAATCAACTTTTTAGTTTTCTTTATCAACAAACAATTTTATAAACTTCATTGATGAATAATTACTTTTTCATTCAAATATGTATTTTATTTTACATGACACACTTTTCTTTGGTAGTTTATTGAAAACAAAATGTTATTTTTTTATACTTGCAAAGAATTCAAATGTTAAACTTTCATTTTACATTAGAATGAAATTTTTTTATAGTCACACAAATATTATAACATGTTTAAGATCACAAATTATAAGTCTTTGTTTTCATTAAATTGGTGCCCCATAAACTAAAATTCAATTCTTCTCATACAAACTGATATAAGTTAAACAACTTTTCTCATATTAATATAAGACTAAAAAAATAGTAGTACATCCATAAATATTAATCAGAGTTCACATAGTTTAACTATAAAAAACATGAAACGTGAAAAATATCTTATAAGGTGAATAGAGAGTTTGTTTCTAAGATTTTTATTCAACCTTTATTAGTAATACATTTACCGGTCTTCAAATATTTTAGTATAAAACTACTATGTCCATAATTAAAAATGACTAATAAAGTCCACCTACACTCTACCCTTTTCATACTTCACGATTTCTATTTATGTGATCACACTGAATATATTATTGTTATCGTAATATTCTTGCTTTCTCTTAATTACCACATAAACTTTGTGCTAATGATGCTCATTTTTTTTTAATTTTTTTAGATGAAAGACATATGGTCATGGCAAAAAGAGCATATACATTGCAAGTAGCAGGATCAAGATTACCAGATTGTTCTCATGCATGTGGATCATGTAAACCTTGTAGATTAGTGATGGTTAGTTTTGTTTGTTCATCATTAGAAGAAGCTGAGACTTGTCCTGTTGCTTACAAATGTATGTGCCATAACAAATCATACCCTGTACCTTAATTAATTAATCATTAGTTTTTTTAAAAAAAAATAACTATATGTTAGTTATGTTATCAATTTTCCAACTAATATCATATATGTTACATATAGTACTTCTTAATATCCTTTAGTTCCCTAGTGTAGGGTCTAATTTGTAGGATCATTTCTCATATGTACTCAATGAGAGTTTCTTCTTTCATTTTTTTTAGTCGCAAGATACATCAATAATCTGTTAAATTTGTTAGTAAATTTCATTAGTTCTGATTAAGTATTTAAACATATGATTAAGTATTCTCTTACGAAATCTTGGAAAAGCTTCTCCACAATATATGTGTATTCTCAAGTACATGTTGCATAAATAAGTTAATTACTTAATTAATAAGTCGTAAAATCTCAAAGTTTGTTCCAATTGATTTGTACATCATGAACAATTAAAGGAAGAGACATATTTTGTGATTAACTTAATGTATCAAATTTCGCTCTCTCTCGCGCTTTATAAAAATATAAATTATACATTGTATTTTGTATAATCTGTGTTTGTATAAAGAGAGAAAGACAAAAAAGAACTGGGTGGGGGAATATTTATATTGTGTAATTATAAGTGTATAGAACGAATAGATATATATATTTGCATGTGTATATACAATTTTCTCTCGCTTTATAATAATAGAAACATAATTTATACATTTCTGATAATATAAAACGAGAGAGACGAGCGAACAAGAGAGGGAGAGTGAAGAGCGATAGTTTGAGGGAGAGAGGTGACTGACAAATACTTTGCTACAGAACTCAATTAAATCAAAGTATTTTTATAGCATTTAATTTAAATTATTAGTTTGTCACTATATACAATTTTTTTTCATTTATGTATCACAAAACAATTGATACGGATTGTATATCTATGCATTTATTAAGAGGTGATACATCGTAAATATTTGTATCTATATATGTTTCAGTTTCAAAGCTAATATGTGTATTTGTTTGAAATTGAAACCGAGAGAGAGAGTGAGGAGATTATGTGTTCGTATATATGTGATTTGTATATCTTAGTTATTGAGATATAACTCGCTCACCTCTCTCTTCTATCTTTCGAAGTCTATTTTCTTGCCTAAAGCATAAAAGGTTTATATGTCAAAAGATTAAAACCTTGTACCAAATTAAGAAATTGTAAACCAAATAGGACAATGATTATTTACTATATCAAAAATGATTATAGCATCAATTAATTTTTACTTGTCGCTAAATATATATTTTAAGTGGCAATAAATACTCTTTGTATATGTTTCTAAAACGTTCAGCGATACTGATTCCAATAACACTTAACTAATGCCGATAAAGACTTTTAACACCTTTTATTAATATCAGTATTTATTGCCGCTAAAAAATATTTTTATTATGGTAATTCTCGAAATTGTCTCAGCCAAACTTCATACTTCATAGTTTCTGCCCATGTTTATGTAAAATTTACCAAGGACTTCTATCAATTATCTTTTTAGAAACTAATTTTATTTTCGATAGGCTCTATTGATTATATACTTATTTTTTCGATAAGCTAGGCTCTATCGATTATCTAACAAAATACATGATCAACTGTCTTCCTCTAAGCATAACACGTTTAGTAGTGCTTATAATTTGATTCCCATAGTGGATCACATAATTTATTTATCATGCATACGTGTTAGTTGTTACATGGCCTAAAAATTGATTTTTAGCAAGGTTCAAAGAATCTACTATTGGTGGAGGACGTATATTATTTGAACAACCCTCTCTTCTCAGTTATTTGTCGATGTGATTGCTCTCAAATATTTATTATGGTTAGTGGTAATACGTTAGAGGTTAATGTTATGTTCTTTGTCTCAATAATTTAGTGAAATCATATGTTCTCAAATAAAATTTTTGGCATTTTCAATTAGGAAAAAGAAAAAACATCAAACAACTAAGTCAATTTTATCCACTACCATATAAAAGTGTTCATCATATAATAGTGGCTCTTTAGGTAAGAAATGAACTAGAACAAGTGGAATACAACAAATGTAAGCGAAGCGAGGGTGTTTATTCGAGTTCAATCAATAAAAAGTTGTATTGTATGTATAAGGTATTTTGTTTATTTACTGTGATTTAGGGAATTTAAAATTTACGTTGAGTTTTCAAGTCTAAATCTTAGGCACTATACTTTTATTTTTTGAATGCCTTAATAATCTGAATCCGTCTTCGCTATTGATCATTGGTTTGAGTGATTTTTTATGGTTAGTGATTGTACTTTTGGTTTTCTATAGTTAGTGGTTGTACTTTTCTGTATTCAAGTTGGAATTCGATTAAATTTAGATTTGTGTCAAGCGAAGTTGTACATTAAAAATAAAATGCATCTTGATAAACACAATTATATACACTAACATATATAGTTCAAATATGACATCCAAAATAAATTCATTATTATGTGATTTAATGAAGTAAAACACATGTTAATTAATTATGGTTAAGTAAAATGAACTATAAATTTAAACACATGATATACGTGTACCGATTTGATGTATACACTCGATGCGGATAAGTTTTACCCCAAATACAATGTTCTTTGTCACAACAATTTGGTGAAGTCGTATCTTTTTTTTTCATCATCAATCTGGCACTGAATTATTCCATAGCAAATAATTTCTTTCGATAATTCATGGCTAATTCATTACTATATAAAATTAGTAATAAATTTTATCGTTTAGCTATAAAAATTTTCGATAACTAGTATAATTCATGAGTTTTTTAGCTGTGAATATGATGTGATACTGTGTGAACTCCCAACTACATAAGAATCATTGGCTGTTTATTCAACAAAAAATGGACCCATATGTCCTCATATTTTTAGACTTCATGTGAAATGCAAAAGCAATCAACCAAGTAAGTCAACATCATCCACTAACATTAGTCCATTACTCAAGTCATCATCATCAACACATGTACTTGTTTTGGAGATAACGCGGCGTTAATAGCTTAGATACATCTCGATTATTTTAGATTAATTTACACAAATATAAAAATACTATGTAACTCTATTTATCATGACTTTAAATAAGTGGCGGAGCTAACTTATGGCTAGATGGTTCAATTGAAACCTATTCACCAAAAAGTTAGGTATAAGCTAATTTTTATCACCTTAATATATGAAACCATTCTAGTTTGGTGGGAAAAGGAGTTCAAAAAATTGCTTATAAACATTACATCATATTAGCTGTTTCTCCACTTTTAAATGGAATGTAATATCTAAAGACATTTACATAAAATGTACAAAAAAAAAAGAGTTGAACTTGTACAAAATCATACAATATAAGGAGCTTTTTTGCAGAAGCTTGCAAGAACTGCTCACAATATGAAGGTCTTAATAATAGTCATTTTATGATCATTCATCCACAGTTATACGACGCGTCCACGCTAATCTCTCACTTCACCTCAAAATTTACCCCTTCAAAACTAAGCTAATCTCTATACATAAGAAATCACATAGGTCTGATGTTAAAGAGACTGCGTTACTACATACCTCCTTTTGGTAGTCAAGGTGAGGGGATCACGAAAGAAAAAAAGCCTAACGCTTTTGCAACGAAGACATTACTATGACCCTCTTTCGAGGATATTCATGCTTCCGAGCTTAAAAAAAGACATGACCCCGGTGCCAAGAAAGGGCAACTCCAGTATCGGTCTATTGGAGGGGTATAAAGAGTATGTCATCATTGGAGTTTTTAGCCATGACGAATGCCCAAGAAGTAGTTAAAGTCATGGTGCTGGACCCCTAATTGCTTTAGCCAAGAGTCGGCCACGCTTAATAGTGACACCATCCTCTCTTGGTCCCTCCCACTTCTGTCTGAAATCCAAACATTACCCTGCATCTTGTAAGTTCCCAAACCGAAAGGTGGAAGTGGGATTGCTTCCCCTTCGTTACGTTTCCTAATACCTTTCTCTGTGTTATCTTCAAGGTCCATATCTGCATAATCCCAGTGATATAGGGTAAGAATCTTCTGCATATTATCGATCAGGTAACATTGGCGACAAAATGATTAGTACCTTGAAAAGAAGAAGAAAGGGTGTGGAATGTGAGAAAGCAGGTCGACAAGTCCTTAATGGTTCTTCCCATGGGAATGTGATATATCGGGTACCTGTATTTTTCATATCAATAGAGTTATTAGTGATTCCATTTTCGTTGATTCCATCTTTCGTTATTTTCTGGTTGCAAATAAAGAAGCTATAACAAATAAGAAACTAAAGCATCGACATAAATGATACGATCAATTAAAGATCCATCACATGGAAAACAAGATCCCCTCAAACACCAAGAAGGTGAAAGTATAATAATGTCACCAAATACAAAAACATTGATCGGGAAAGTTTTTATACATTTAAAGCACCTGAATAATCATCACTTCCATGATCGTAAGAGAGAGAGGGAGGGAGAGAGAGAGTAATTTTACCAAGCAACTGACATCCAACTAGCTGGTGAAAGATCTACGCTTCTCAATGACATTAATCCGGGGTGTCTTTCAGCTAAGCTACTAATCTGAAAGCAAAATGAATAGTTAGAGTCACATAAAACTTACAAAATAATGCATCATATTCTTAAGAAATTCAAATTATATTGCTCGGAATAGTATAATCTGTTCTAGTAAGAAAGCATTGGATAATTCTAATGCAGAAAGGAAGAATAAATGCTAATGATACCAGAGGCGCATACATAAAGAGGGAAAAGTAAGTAACTACTATAATACCAGACAGAATCGAATCAATGATACTTTATTTATACCATCAAATGGCAATAGTAGTAATAGATAAGAAATGCAAAAAAAGGAGTGATCATTTGTAGAATCCTGTCATTAACGGTTAACCATTACCATTTTTTCATTCTATCAGAAATCGTGTTAGGAATAATACAAGGGCTCAAAGAAGAAACAAGAAAATAGCGGAAACTGGAAGTAAAAGCACAAGTTGGAAAGAATACAACTAAGCTTTATACTTCTATCATACACGAATTACTCGCTAATACCACAAATTTTGGGTTAAAAAAATTGTCGGAAGCAGAGGAATATGAATTAGCGGAATCAATGTTATATTCAACAATCACAAAAAAGTTTTTACTAGTAGAAAAGAATGACGTATATTTGAACAAACAAGATACCTTATCCACCAGAGGTACTCTTCCATATGGAGAAGATCTTTCAAAGTATTGAT